CATGTCGATATCCTCCTGAAGCCGAAGATCGAATCCTCCAAGCGTTTGAAGATGATCCCACTACAAGTACTAGGAAAGTTGCTGCTGATCTTGGTTTGTCGCCATGGAAGGTTTGAAGTATCATGCGCCGTGAACGAAAATATCCTTTTTATGGTATTGGCGTACAAGAACTTGAAGATGGTGATCCTATCCGCAGAAGCCAATTTTGTCGTTTTCTCTTACATAGTGACATTGAGGATGAACGATTTCTGGAAAGCATTTTATAGACGGACGAATCCGATTTTTCAAAGGGTGGCATTGCAAATTTTCACAATTTGCATCAATGGGCTGATGAGCAGGAAAATCCACACTGGAAAAAAACAGGTGTTTTTCCAGCACAAATTTTCCGTTAATGGGCAAGGATTAATCGGTCCTCATTTTTTGCCTGAAAGATTAAACGGCGACAGTTATCTACACTTTTTGTAAAATGATCTTCCCGAATTCCTTGTAGGAGTAGACATTCCAGATGACATGCAAATTGTTTTACAACACGACAGATGTCCAGCTCATTCCGTTTAGACGTAAGACAATATTTGGACGATACTTTTCCAAATAGCTGGATAGGCAGAGGTGGACCAGCTAGATCCCCGGACTTGACACCATTGGATTTCTACGTCTGGTGGCGGGCTAAATAGTTAGTTTACACTGAAGAAATCATATCAAGAGACAATTTAATAAGAGAAATCCAAGAAGCTTTTTATTAAAGACAGGTTATTAAATACAACTACTGAAGTAACACGTAGAGCTCGAGCATGTTTTAGAAACAATGCTTCTCACTTTGAACACCAATAAAGCATGTTTTAATACTTTATTTAGGGCCAATTTCACCAGCAACAGTCCGTTATTCTCCACCTATAGGGTAACAGTCCGTCAGATACAGCGAATGAGCTTCAAGTTCCAATCAACAAATTTTAGCAACCAATAGCTATGAAATGTTGAAAACAAAATACTGTTAAAGTATGAGATGACAACTTGTCATTGAAACATCACCAGCTTATTGAATATTAAGAAATTACATATAATTTAGTAAAAATTTCAAGAAATGTTTGATTTTTTAATTAAATTCATGTTTTAATTACTATTGTTGATTTTTTATTCATGTTTATATTATTTTCTTCAATTGATATGCGATACTGAGTGTTTTTTCCTATGAAGCTCTTGCAGATAGCCATTAAGCACCTTACTTGATGACAGGCTCTACCAAAAGATATTGCTCGTTGCCAAACATTCATTCATTTACTTGCCGTTCATCAGAACCATTATGGCACCTTCGATTGATATTCCCACAAAACCATTCAGGTTTTTTGATATCCATGCATCCATAAAGTTGAATATTTTTCGTTGTTCAGGAACTGAACAAACATCAACACTATATTCACAGCGATTAAGAAATTCCCAAATACATATTTGCCTTAAAGCTACCAGCAAACCTAAAAGCTGCAAAAAAAACTACAAATTTGCCATATTTTTCTTTTTTCACGAGTACACATTCTAGGTTATATTTATATTAGACATTATTTGAATACAGCTGATTATTGCAGTTCAAGGAGTAACACGTGTGGGATCTGTCAACTCTTGGTACCAGTCACAAAACATATACTCTGAAGGTTTAATTCCATGCTATTCAATGACAACACGGTGACTTATGTGGTTGTCAGCGGCCATTTTGTGAGGGTGCGACAGGGTTGCCAGATTGTGCATTAATATCCCGTTTCACCCTCCTGGTCCCAGTGGAGTAAGTTCCGACAACTGTTGAAAAATACTCTACTACGCTTTATAAGACTATTCGAGACATTTTTCCCAAAATCATTGCACAACACTTGAAAAAATGCAAATGAAAATTTAAAATTATTTCCATGACGCCGCAAAATAGCTCCGTCGGTACCTTGGGTTATACATCTTAACAGTAAGGATGGTCAGATAGATATCCTCGCCAGTCAAAAAAAAAATAGACAAACAATAAACATTACAAGTTTTTTTGATTTTTGGACTTAAAAGCCATTATCTGTGAAACATTTTTGATAATTTTTTGTCTATGTCCACAGTAATTGCATTATGCATCAGGGATATATAGGGATTGGCACGTCTTACACATATTATCTGTGTGTATTATATGTTTTTATTGCTTTGAAGAAATTCATTATCCCATAAATAAATGATCACTATTATGACGTAAAGGAATATGAGGAATTGGATGGAATGTATTTTATATTCTATTTTCTTGCAAAATACAGACAAATCCACACTATTCAACAGGTATGTTGTATAATGAAGTTGGTATATTCAAGAGTGCCATGCATCAACAAACGTCCAAATCTGCTGCCAAAGTTAACAGCTAGAAAATCGACATATTATTTGCCGCATTCCCATTCCCTGAGGGGATAACGGATTGTTAAATGTAAACCTATAACATATATCAAAATACATGAAAGTTGTCCTATTTTTTCTGTACAAAAACATCATGTTGGAATCAAAAAGTGGTCCTGTTTATAATACAGTCGAATTTTCAGGATTTTATTCAATATTTCAAAAGAAATCACTAATATTCTGAGACCTTTGACAGCTTCCGTCAAATTGCATTTCGATAAGGTATTTTCCCATTGGTCCATCACTAAAAAGACATTTTTGCATATGGGATGTTCTAGCGAATTCTATGTCAAAAGTGTTACGTGACCTGATATTATATGCATGCCTCTCGGACCTCGGTATTAGATATTCCTGCAAGTATTCAAGCAATAAATGATTTTTTGTTTTAAAAATAAATAAAACATTTGACATTTCAACCTTTTGCTGTATTGAAAGCCATCCGAGGGTTTTTAACATTAAATTAATAGGCGTATAACGTGTACAAAATAATATAGTGCGCATAGCCTTATTTTGTAGTAACTGGAGCCTTTGAATATCAGTTTTTTTGCATGATAGCAACAATGAAAAACAATAATTAAAATGTGGATATATGATGGTATTATATACAAGAAGACGACTCCAGTGACTAAGACTTTCAGATATTCGCCTAAAAAATCCTATTTTTTCCCAATTTTTTTACTAACATAATCAACATGCAATGAAAAATTTAGCTGAGGATCTAAAACTACGCCCAAATACTTCATACTAGATGCACTTTCAATTTGAATATTATCTATCTCAATACAAAATTTCTTTTCTAAAAATGTATTACAGTTCTGCTTTGTCCCAAAAACCATGTATTTTGTTTTTTCTACATTCAACTTAAGCCTATTCACACATAACCAGTTATACAGAATTTCCAGTATTGAGTTCATACTATCTACAACTTGTCTAAAATCCTTACCGTACACATAAAGCAATGTATCGCCTGCAAATAAGCTCGGAAATGTATTTACTAAAACCCTGTTCAAGTCATTTATATAAAGTAGGAACAAAAGCGGGCCCAACACACTACCCTGAGGTACCCCAATTTCACTATCAATTGAATTTGACGCCACGTTATTAATCTTCGTCACATGAGGACGGTCTTTCAAGTAGTTCATAAACCATTTTAGTGCACTGTCTGTAATCCCATAGGTCTGCAATTTCTGGATCAGTCTTTTCCTATCAATAGTCTCAAATGCACGTTGAAGGTCGATGAATACACTTAACACAATATTCCCGTCATGAATGTATGAACGCCATTTCGAACACACATACTGCAGCGCCGACTCGCACGAGTGTTTTTCCCGAAATCCCGACTGTCCCTTAAACAACAGTTTTCTTGCCTCCAGAATCTCCCGTAACTGCGCACAAACCTCGGTTTCCAAGATTTTGTCTATCACTGGTAACAAGTTAATGGGTCGGTATTGTGCTGGTTTATATGGTGAGGACACTTTTGGAATAGGCACTATAACACTAGTTTTTATTGCTTTTGGAACTTTTCCTGTTGTAAGGGATGCATTGATCAAGTGAAGTAAAGGGTATCCGAGTACACAAAAAGCCGTTTTCAAAAACTTAACAGTACAAATATCATCCGCTGTTGACTTGTTTTTAAGTTCCATTACCCTTTTTCTAAGTTGATCAATGCTTAATGTGGCAATTCTTGAAATGTCGGTGCAACTTTTGGTATTTTGTCGGCTATTTCCTTTATGCTTTTTGCATAAAAATTGTTAAAATTGTCTTGAACAGATCCAGCATCTTCCTCAAATTCAATATTATCATATGACAGAACATTCTTGTTTTTGCTGCCTACAACTTGCTTTAAAGTTTGCCACATTTTTTTGCTATCCCCCTTGCATTGGTCAATAGTAATTTTATAATATTTTTTCTTTTCGTTTCGAATAACACGAGCGTAAATGTTCCTTTTTTCTTATACAGATTCCAGTCTGAATTTAATTTGGTTATTTTAAACTTTTTATAAGCTTCGTCCCTGTCTCTTCGGGCTTGGATTACGAACCTATTAATCCACGGTTGTTTGCGGGTTTGAGTGTTTTCAAGAGGTACAACTTTATTTACAGTTTCTGTAATGTTTTTCATAAACTTTTCATATAATAGGTCCACATCTGTTGTTGAATAGTCCCAATCTTTTCCGTAGAGTTCAGCTATAATAGTGTTAATATTTTCCTTATTAAATTTTCGTTTATGCAGACCAATACACATAATCATCAGATGCGATCTTGCTACTGAACCAATTTTCTTTCTGTCACATCTTCTCTGAGATAAACGCTACAGACTACACGGTTTTCTGCAACCAACAATGCATGTCGTGTCGTTGAGTCATTCTTCGATAGATGGACGCTTTTGATGGCGCTCACATCGATCATAGTGAGCAATCGTAGAAGGAACTATTTGTAGACTAAAAACTGCCTAGTCTAAGATGAGATTTTGTCGTTTTTTTACATGATAGCCCTGCCGTACAAATATTGCACTCCCCATGCCTGTGATTGCTCTCTACGAGCCTAAGGATTCGGGCAAATACGAAAATATGTTTAAGAACTAAAAATGGTAAACACCTCTATTCTGATATCCTCTATGTACCGGACTAAAATCGTTTTCATGGTAGGGCGTCGGGCAGCCCTCAGGCCGTGGCGCCAGCAGCGAGCCTTCCAGCACGGCTCCGGCCGCGGCTGCCGACGTCACCGTCGTCTCGCCGACCGCGACACGGGCCCCCCTAAAAGCCCCATAAATAAAACCCGCACACGCGGGGGACGGGGACAGACGTCGCGGGCCGCACTCGCCACATTGGTCAGGAGGAGATCGCGGGGCACGCCCCTCGCGAGAAGAGAACGATGTCCGACTCTAACGGGGCTGCGTGTTCTGGGGCCGTCACGTAAGGGATGATTGGGGTGAGGTTCTTAGTTCACCACCCCATCCGCTTCGTCGGGGTTAACAAAGGCCCTGCGCAAGGGTAGATCGTTATACAGGGTGTTTTCTATGTTGAGTCATTTATTTCAACTGCTTGCAGGACTCGTCAAAAGAAGTTGATATTACCAAATATCACATATGGGTGTTTCAGTTTATTGTTGCGTAACTTTAAGATTCGATAGAACTTTTAAAATTAATGCATAAAGTCTGTATAAACATGGGTCGAAAAATGCGTGGCTTCCGAAATACAGGATGTTTAAATTTACTTTCTAAAATAGTTAATTTTAAATATTTCGAACAATATTTGATGTATAACAGTGAAAATTGGTATACAAAGGTTTTTTGGTACGACAAAACGAACCATGGGCATAGTTTTACTGTAGCCGCTAGAGGGCGCTCTCTACTGTACCTGTAGTGTATTAAAATGACCGAAAAATTTTTCTTAGTACATTTTTTTTGCTTTTTGAATAAAAAAACTGATTCTTCGCACTTTTCAACATAAAAAAGCTCGCTTGTGAATTTTCGTTATAGTTAGCCGTTTTTGAGATATTTCGATTTTTAAGGTTCGATGCATTTTTAATTATGTATGATAAAATAACGTTAAAAAGTCAGTATCTCGATAATTTTTAGAAGTAGGCTGTGCCTGCAAATATTTTTGAAACAGAAAGCAGAATAAGGTTAAACGTCAATTAGTTGACAGTTAGTTTTGTTGTCTGTTGAAACCTGAAACGTTCTTTTGCAATTGTGAATGCACGACATTTAGTTTCTTTTACCTGTTTTTTTTTTGGTAAGTTTTATAAAAATGCCATTTTTATTCTCCAATCTAGTGTTAGCGGATATTCATTTTGTGTATGGCTTTGTAAATGGAAACGCAGCAAAAGCAGCCAGAGAATACGCACGAAGATTTCCAAACAGACGACATCCAACTCGCTCAGTATTTGTAAGAGTCTATCGCCAAATAATTGAAAATGGTTCTGGAAATCTCCAAAGGGATCAAAACATAAATGTTTGTCAGCGCAGATCTACCCGTATGATTCTGCGTGAGTTTGATAGAGATCCGACCACAAGTGCTAAAAGAGTTTCTGGCGCCTTGGGAATTTCAGCAAGCCATGATTACCGTGTTCTTAGAAATGACCATAGACGTCCTTACCATTTGCAACCTGTGCAAGGACTACAGCCAGGGGACGGAGAACGAAGAATCACATTTTTTTCAGTGGATTCTTGATAGAACTGATAATAATAGGGAGTTTTTAAGTAACGTCTTTGGACCGATGAGTCATGCTTCACTAGACGTGGAGTGGTAAATTTTCATAATCAACACATTTGGTCGCATGAAAATCCGCATGCAGCATCAGCATGAATTTAGTGTGAACGTGTGGATTGGTATCTACCGTAATCGACTATTTGGACCCTACCTTTTGCCTGCAAGGTTGAATGCTGCGACTTTCTTGGAATTTTTAAAGGCTGAACATGCAAATATGTGGGATGATGTTATGTTAGATTTGAGAAGATTGGCCTGGTTCCAGCTTGATGGTTGTCTAGCTCATTATTCGAGAATAGTTAGAAACTGGCTGGACGAAAATTATCCAGAAAGATGGATCGGCCGTGGAGGACCAGTCACCTGGCCTCCACGATCCCCTGACCTAAATCCATTAGATTTCTTTGTGTGGGGATTTCTAAAAGAAAAAGTGTACCAGACTCCCGTAACCACAAGAGATATGCTAATAGACAGAATCAGGAGTGCATGCAATTGTGTATTGGACAATTGGGTTTACATTTCGAGCAACTACTTTAGATTTTGTATGTTTGTCCTAACTATTCAATAGCATTTTAGTTGTAAATAATTAATTTAATTTGTTAAAAATAATATTGGAAAATTAAACAAATTAATATTCTGTTTTTTTGTATTTATTTGGAGTTAGGAATGATTGCTGTGTTTAAAAACACAATCTAAACGATCATCTTAATTACTTGTAATGCCCAAATCGAAAATGTAAAAAAAAATATTATTTTCCCATAAATAATGAAAAATGCATCGAACCTTAAAAATCGAAATATCTCAAAAACGGCTAACTATAACGAAAATTCACAAGAGAGCTTTTTTATGTTGAAAATTGCGAAGAATCAGTTTTTTTATTCAAAAAGCAAAAAATTGCACTATGAAAAAATTTTCGGTCATTTCAATACACTACAGGTACAGTAGGGAGCGCCCTCTAGCGGCTACAGTAAAACTATGGCCATGGTTCGTTTTGTCGTACCAAAAAACCCTTGTATACCAATTTTCACTGTTATACATCAAATATTGTTCGAAAAAAAAACTATTTTAAAAAGTAAATTTAAACACCCTGTATTTCGGAAGCCACGCATTTTTCGACCCATGTTTATATAGACTTTATGCATTAATTTTAAAAGTTCTATCGAACCTTAAAAATATGCAACAATAAACTGAAACAACCTGTATAAAAATTGCATAATCAGAAAGTTACTTCAAATTATTAAAAATTATTTAAAACAATCATTATCAAGTTAAATAGATACCGTTTTTACAAAAACTGTTCGAAATTGTCCTTATTTGCTCGCTGAATGCAAAATCCTGCTGGGCGAATCCGCGACTCTTTACAACCTTCCAAAATAAAATGCTGGTGTCCACAAATTAAATCACAAGCATTTTCAGTGAGCTGTTGAAGTTCTTAAAGTGTATTTACTACTCCATCATGGCACACCAACTCTTTCAAATAGCCCCACAGAAAAGGTCGCAAGGCTTTAAGTCCGGGGAGCGAGCAGGCCAAGAAACGGGTGCATTGCGCCCTATCCATCTATTCGGAAAGTCATTATTTAGATGTTCATGAACTTCTCGTCTGAAATGTGGTGGAGCCCCATCATGTAGGAATCACATATTCTGTCTCACATTCAGAAGGAAATCTTTCAATAACTGTGGCAGATTGTGTTAAAAAAAAAATGAATTCCACCGGTCAGTCGAGATTGAAAAGAGTAGAGTCTATTAAGCATGCGACTTACCACGCTAGACCGAACATTTAATGAAAATCTCTGTTGAAAATGAATTCTTTTTACAGCATGCGGAAAATGAGTTCTTTTTGCAGCATGTGGCTTTTCTATTGCCCAAACATGATTTTTGTCCAACTGTTCTAAAGACCAATGGCAAAATGCAACTCTTCTAGGATGAATCTTCAGGTTGTAACGCTTGTACCCGTTGATAATGATAAGGATAATACTGTTCTTGTCGTATTGTCTTTCACGCCAGTACCTACTCATTATTGGGTCGTCTTCGACCATTCCTGAAATGTCTTCCTCGGTTTGTAACATTTCAGGTTGAGCAGGTCTTCCAGCGTGACCTCCTCGTTGTCCTTTTGAATATCCTGTGTCACGGAGTCTAATAACTAAATTTACAAACATCCGTAGGGCCGGATGGTTTCTTAAAGAAAACCATTCCGCATACAACCTCCATACAATTTCGTCATGGTGTTCACGAAACTGTCTCAGTCTGAATGTTTCGAAACGTAAAGTTATGTCTTATACAAGAAAAGTTAACTATTTAATTTATGATAATTATAACATCAATGGTCAGGTTATAGACAGATGCACCTCTTATAGAGACCTTGGAATCATTTTTGATACCAAGCTAACGTTTACTGAGCATATACTCAATATCTCGTCGGCTGCCACTCGACTATTTGGTTTCTGTATCAGAAACTGGAAGGGTTTCTCCAATGTTGATACATTAATGACTTTATTTTTTACTTTTGTCAGGAGCAAGTTGGAGTATGCGACTCTGATCTGGTCTCTTATATACCAAAATTCTGTCGTGATCCTTGAGGCCATTCAACGTAAAGCTTTAAAGTATTTTCACCTTAAATGCACAGGTTCTTATCCAGAAAGAGGTTGTGACCATAGTGCCCTATTAGAGTTTTTCAATTTGGATTCACTGTCAACAAGACGAAACATACTTGTTTTGTCGTTTTTTGTATGGGCTCATTCACAATAAAATTGACTGTCAAAATTTACTTGAAAAAATATGTTTCCGCGTTCCAGGGCTAGGGAGTCGACAACAAACGGCATTCTATTGTCAAGCTGGCCGTACAAATGTTGACAAAATCGCCAATTAATCTCATGTGCTGCGTCATGAACAGTGTTACTGAATCGTGTGATATTTACAGTGACAGTTGTGCATCAATTATTAACTGCTATAGATCATCCAATCTTATTTAGAATGTGTGAGACTATAGATTTAAGTCCAAGAACCACGTATCTTTAATTGTTATTTTTTTAGCGTTTCCTGTAATTGGGTTTCACCTGTTGGAAATAAATAAATAAAATAATAAAAAATAAATAAATAATACTGCGGCTGCATTTTGTTGTCACTCTCCGTATATTAGTATTATGTCCACCAGTTCATTATTTTCGTAAACATGGGCCATTTTTTCTCACAAAATAATCAGACAAATGAAAATATACGCACTATTAAAAATCTGATACAACTGATCGAACCAACGACTCGTACTGAAAACCACACAATAACACAAAAAGTTTACCAAATGTAAAGATAAACGATAAGAGTAATAAACAAAGACCGCTAAGATTTTACGCGACAGCGGTCGTGAATATCAAAAAACCTGAGCAATATCATTTTTATTTTTTAAAATGTTCAATCTTTTACTATTTCTTTTATTATGTATCTTGTCTATAGGTGATTTTTGGTATTCCAACTCCTTTTGACGAGTCCTACAAACAGTTAAAATAAATGACTCAACTTTGAATTATAGCTAAGAACAGAACAAGTAATAAAGAAGTATTGGGAGATAATGCATAGGTAAGCGTTGAAATATAAAAAATCCTGGACTGGGAAGATTAACTGACTACGAATGCCGGACAGATTTTTAGGCTCGATCTTACCAACAGGAGATCAAAATTCTTGATCGGGAGCAAAATGCGCCAATGAGAAAGCATCTTTCTTGTAATGGATCTAATGAATATGTTCGATTATTTCTAAGATATCTGTTAAATATATACGATTTGTGTAAGAAGCACCTCTAATCCCCATAATAAATACATTCTCAATAAAGCACCTGGTTTAGGTACAAAAACAATTTTTTTCAGTTGATCCGGAGATTAAAACCTATATTTCGGATCAACAATGATCAATTAGAAAGCGTGAAACTGCTTGGGAAATTGGCCAATCGGAGAGGAGCCCTTGATCCTTGCCCGAATCGAGGAATAAATCTGATTTAATGCCTAGACTGATATGACATCAATTACTGTATTACTGAGCACTTTATTGAAAAGAACAATGTATTACTTACCTTGGAGAGAAGGCTGGAAAGTGACAAGGGTAGTCTATATAGCCAAACCAGGACGAAAAGATCCAGTGGCGAAGTCACTAAGACCAACTAGTCTGACCTCATTATGCTGAAAGCCCTTGAAAAGGTAATTGATGGGTACATAAGGGAGAGGGGCTCTGAAGAGGCATCTTCTAAGTGGATCAATATGCCTATCAGGGTGGTAAATCAACTGACCCTGCTCTCAACAACTTGGTCTTTGGAAAAAAGGAAACTAACGGCCTTTTTGGACATGGAGGGAACATTTAACAATGCCTTACCAGAATCCCTCTATGAATCGATCGCCTCCACGGGTGTGAATCGTCTGATCTGCGGTTGGATCAGAAGCATGTTGACATGCAGAATCATAACGACATCCTTACAGGGGGAGACACTCAGATTTAGTGCTGCCAGGGGGTGTCTACAGGGAGGGGTGTTATCTCGCCTTTTGTGGTCGCTCCTGGTAGATAATCTGTCATTATTCGCCGATGGGAGGCCGAGGTTCAAGCATATGCAGACGATCTAGTCGTCATAGTCAGAAGGAAATCTGGAGAACACATCTCAGGAACACTCCAGGAAGTGTTAACCGCAATAGCGGATTGGGCTAAGGTGACGGAATGTCAATCAACTCGCAAAAAATGGTCATCGTACCGTTCACCAGAAAGAGAAAACTGGATGGGATTAAACCTCCAACAATCCAAGGTGAAAATGTACCGTTTGCAAAAGTGGCGATATATCTAGGAATAATCTTAGGTAAAACACTAAACTGGAATTCGCATCTCGAAGCAGTCCTTAAGAAGGCAAGGATCTCGCTATGGAATGAAGCCTAAACAAATGTTTTGGTTTTATACTATGGCCATTAGACCTATGATAACCTATGGATCTGTAGCGTGGTGGGGTAAGACATCACAAAGAACTGTCCAAGCCAAATTGAGCGCAATACAGAAAGAAGCTTGTATGTTGATCACTGGTGCCTTCCGTACCACACCAAGTGCAGCTATGGTGGACCTTCTTAATTTACCTCCCTTGCATATATACCTGGAAGGCAAGGCAAGAAGGACATCTTATTGACTGCTTCATGTGGCAAATGGTATAATGGACAATATCACTATGGAGAAGACGGACAGGATGGTGAACTTACAAAACCACCCCAGTCTGGGGATGCCTTCTGGTATAATGCCAAAGATAACAAAATATGCTAAACCCTACACAGTGACAATTCCATACAGGAATGAGTGGGAACAGCAAGTTAACATGATAAGGAAAGATATATGTGCATACACAGATGGCTCCAAGACCGAGATAGGTGTGCCGAAGCGAAAGATTAAAAAATCTGTTAGCCAAGGAACCTGGACATCCATCTTCCAGGCAGAGCTATGTATATGGTATAGAACTGGGTGCCAGAATGATCGCAGAATGACAACTGAGACACAGAACTATAATTATTTTTTCAGATAGTCAAGCCTCACTTAAAGCACTTGACTCCACGTACTCGACAGCGAAACTAGTGTGGAATTGCAAAGAAGCTCTCCGTGGCATAGGGGAAGCAAATGAAGCCAGTCTCATATGGATACCAGGTCACACAGGTCTAGAGGGAAACGAGACAGCTGACACTCTGGCAAAGAGTGGGGCTAGCACACCCTTCATAGGGCCTGAGCCAGCGATTGGGATCGCATACAATACGGCTAAACAAATAATCTCTGTCTGTCCATTTCTGCAGAGATGGACAGACAGATCCATCAATACTGGGAGGGATTAGCAGGGTTAACCCCCTAAGGCAACTACGCCAATCGTGACAAAGAAGCTAACGTAATCTTTGCTACGGCTGAAAAGAAATAACCTCAAAGCTCTAGTAGGACTGTACACTGGTCATTGCAAACTGCATCACCACATGAGCAGGATAGGCTTGGCGGAAAACGCTAAGTGCCGACTGTGCATGGAGGGAGACGAAACGGTCAGGCATGTACTTTGCAGATGCCCTGCAATTGCCAGAATCAGGTACAAGAAACTTGGAGACCCAGTACTCCAAACAGAAGACCTGAAGGATATTTCTCCAAACAGGTCAATCGACTTCCCCAGGAGGTCGGAGCTACTGGCGGAAATATAAATAGGTGTGAGCCACAATAGACCAAAGAGTCGCAGTGGAGGATCGCTATTGAATCACTCACAAGAAACCTAACCTAACCTAACCTAATTTTAGCGAAAAAGATATATTTTTAAAAATGCATCAACGTGTCGATTGTCAATTAAATTGTCATCTAATGTAATTTATAGATACTATCTTTACTGAAAGTATTTGAATATGCAGATAACTTACCTAACTAGCAAATATATTTTATAATTTGCAACTGTCCGTGCTATTTTATTTTATAATTGCTTCATTACTACTCGTAGAACGCAATTTTGTTTGAATAAAATTGCCAGAAAGACGATTCAGCTCTTAATAAGTATTTTACTTTTTAACGTAGTAGTTTGTAGAGCAAAAATATAAAACAGTTTTGCGACAAATCTTAATACTATCTTATAAACGTTTACATAACAATTTTATACGACAATTAGGCTTACCGAACAAATTTGTTTCATAATAGATTTATACTGGTGTTATCTGATACGAGCTTATTCATTTGCGAACATTAATAAAATTATTTTATATCTAAGTGCTATGTGAAATATTTATAAAACTAGTTCATTAATATTTTCTGTCTGTTATTATCGCGCTCGCTAAAGCATCTTGCACTCAGATGGTGCTTTAAAAAACTATTATATAGTTATTATTAACACCATAATAAAAGCTGTATAAAGCAGTAAAACGTTTGTAAGGATGGAAAAGCATTTATTAATAAATTTATAAAACGAATAAGGCATTCTTGCTCGCCATTTCCAATCGCGATTATTACCTTTGATCTAGCCGTGACAAAGGTGACATGGTCTTTTTATCAGTGGCGAAGCGTCCATGTAACCATTGTTACCATTGGTAACAGTTAAAAATCTTAAAAATAAATATTTTATGACTAAGTACTGTGAAATAATTTCATTTATTTGTTTACCAACAGCGATGTGAGCACTTAGAACAGACAACATCCTTGCTTCGGCAATCTTTCTTACCATGACCAAATTTACAACATTTGTAACAACGTAGCAAATATAAATTTTCCCTGACAGTACATCTCACCCAGCCAATAAAAACAAACCCTTTGCTACTAAGTAAATTAAACACAGAAGGAACCACCTCGATAACAACATTTTTTGTATTTTTAACCTTATAGCAACTAATTATTTTTATATCATCTGAATTAACACCTAAATTGTTATTGAATATTAAATCGTCAACAAAACTATCAACAAATTCAAGTTTATCTGGACCAGGATTTTTGAAACAGTCGTTAGGAAACATTTTGGTAGGCTCACAAACATCGAACTTATTTCCTAAATCAGATTTTAGAGAATCTTTTAGAGTCTCCACATCTTTTTTACTATTACAGCTGATCATCAGACCATTTTTGGTGAGTTTAGTCTTGTTGATATTGACATTAAGAGCACCAGGCGAATAACGAGATTTAAAATCATTTTCAACAGTTTTGTACGAAGTAGAACGATCTGCAGGCTTAATCAACAAATATGAATGGTCCATTTTTTTCACGATAGCACTGTACGAAACACAATCTTTGTTTTTGCTGCTGTTGCCCACTGGCTGACTTCGGAATTTATCTTCAAGGTCACTTATGAGTTTTTTCTGAATTTCCACAATATAACCTCTCTCGTTTGCGATTTTATCGATCAAATTTTTTTCTCTTACCAGGCACTCAATCTCTTTTTCCAATACAGCTAAATCACTTTCGGGCACACTAGCACTGCTCCTTGACGCCCGTGAACCAGATACCATTTTAACTTCAGACTTTTCAGGTATTCGATTAAATACTGCTTCCCCAAAATCTGCCATTTTCAGCTTGCCATTTATCATTGGAAGACAACCGCTGCAGAACCATTTGATTCCCGCACAATCACGCTTAACTTTAGCTAATTTGTCGTCGACCTCAGCACAATGATGATGAAACAACTTTTTGCAAAAATCGCAAGAAATATTCTTGGTGTTCACAATGAAATTATCTGAGCATCGAGCACACGCCTGTATGCCAGACGCCATCTTGTAGGCAGCATATCTAAGCTTCAATGAACAACTAAATAGTAACAAGCATCTCTGGAAAGCTGTACATTCATTGAAACTCAAAACTAATGTAGATAGATCTTTACCTACACAGTTGAATAATGCCGATGAAGTAAACAATTATTTTTCTTCCGTTTTCACGCCTTCGGGCAATTGCAAGGATCTAGTTGATAAATTTAATAGTACCAAAATTAATGAAAGTGCTAGATTTGAATTTAGTTTTGCTACCCCACAAAATGTGCTACACATTATTCTGTCCCTAAAATCTAATGCAGCAGGTTCGGATGGTATAACAGTCTCAATGCTGAAGCTTTGCTTGCCTCGAGTATTACTACCCCTGACGCATTTATTGAACTGTTGCCTGGAGGCTGGGTATTTCCCTGATGCTTGGAAACTATCTCTTGTCAAACCCTTGCCTAAATGTAAAAATCCAAAATGTCTCTCAGACTTAAGACCTATAACTTTGATTCCTGTTATATCGAAGATATTGGAGAAATTGATTAAACATCAGGTTTATCATTATTTCTCTAATAATGATTTCTTTCCCAAGTGTCAAACTGGTTTCCGCAGTGGTTTTAGTACAACTTCAGCTTTAGCAAGGGTTTTAGATGACATCATTGCTTCGCTTGATAAGGGAGATGCTTCAGCACTTGTATCATTAGATTATTCTAAGGCGTTCGATAAAATAGATCATGAGCTTTTATGTGCTAAATTGAAGTTTTTTGGTTTTTCAGACATACCTCTAATGTTTTTTATAACATATCTTTCAAATCGTAAACAAGTAGTAGAGATAGACAACACTATATCTAGTCCGATTGATATAACATCAGGTGTCCCTCAGGGTTCAGTTTTAGGGCCCTTGTTGTACTTAATTTATACTATAGACTTGGGTAGCTCTGTGAAAAACTCTTCTGTGATGTGCTATGCCGATGATACACAGATATATAAAAGCTTTAATAGTAACACTTTGCATACTTCAATCAATGAGCTTAATGATGATTTGGAGGCAATAGTAGGATACTCAAATGGTAATAATCTTAAGCTCAATAAGGATAAGTGCTCAGTGATGCTTTTTTGTCCTGCTGTCAAACGTAACACTGTATTGAATTCTCTTGATGTAAAAATCGACAAGGAGCGTCTAGCTGTCGTAAATACTACAAAAAATTTAGGGTTGATTATTGATTATACTTTACGGTTTAAGGAGCATGTTTCGTCTATCTTAAAAAAATGTTATGCAACGTTGAAGTGTTTTTATGTCAATCGCTCTATTTTGAATTTTAAAGTTAGAAAAAAGTTATGTGAGGCTATTATATTTCCAAGCTTATTTTACTGTAGCACTGTGTTCTATCATTGTCTTGATTCTATCACAAAAGCAAGACTCCAAAAACTCCAAAATACTTGTTGTCGATTTGTATTTAATCTCAAGAAGTATGATCATGTTTCCTTAAAGAGATTTCAGCTTGGTTGGATGTGTATAGAAAATGCTTGCAAGTACCATATAGCAGTGTTTACACATAAGATCATATCTTCTAGACCCCCTTGTATCTTTATGAGAAATTTGTTTTCAGACGAAATAATTCAGACATTGATTTCAGACACAAAAAAAGACTAGAGATCCCTATGTATAAAACAACTTTATTTCGTAGTTCATACACTTACAATGCTATCCTGATTTATAACGAATTAGATGACAATATAAAGGATTGGCCAGTAAACAGATTTCGTAAGCATGTGAAACAGATTTATTTGTCATTGTAGTAATTGTGGAAAAGTTAGTTTTTAATTCTTACATTTAATTTTATTTTACGTAATATATGTGTGTATATATGTATGCTAGGAAGCTATCAAGCTCGTTGTTTTGAAGCGTCTTTTGCTTGTCAAAGTTTCCTTTGATTGAGTGTTTCAATTTAGTATTTGGGTAGGTTAAGTAGAGTAGCCAAGAGCTAGACTTCGCCTACGTAGAGGTCACATTATGTTGTAGTGTATATAATGTGCCTAATAAAGACATTTTATTATTATTATTATTATATATATATATATATATATATATATATATATATATATATATATATAATAATGCGCCCCATAGTGTCTAGGTTTTGCGAACACGATGAAGCTGACTCGCCTCGACTTGGTTTGTCGGTTGTTACCATTTTCATTTATGGATACACTTGGTAGTCCGTCGGGGACCGTCGGAAGCGGCTCGTGTCTGATCGCGGTCGCCCGAGTGCGTGGGGCGCTGCGACTATTATGTAGGCTTGTTACCATTTTTTGGTTTGATTACTCACTTCTAACTCGTTAGTATCCGTTTTGGTTACCGGCTGTAGTCTCCTTGTATACTTTTTAAGAAAAAAAGGAGATCATTGAAAATGGAAGACCAACACCTATTCTAGATAATTTTAAAAAAGAATAAAAAAACGTAGTTTGATATTTTAAATTAAGCTGGTATATGGAAACTCTTAGTTATGTGGTTGCAAAAAAAATAGATTGTATTGTTGGCGATGTCTTCTGTTTTATACAGAAAAAATGGGCGGACCAGCAGCGGAGTCAACGATTTAAATAGTTTTAGGGATCTAAAGAGGAGTCATGAAACTTCTCCGTTACATGTGAGATACATGTGTAGCCAATTTAACTCAGTTTGGCAAAACAAGAATCGAAAGATGACTTAACCAAGCTTTTAGGCAGCACACTTCTAGATACCGTATGTTTTTTGGCAAAACAGGAATTACCGTTTATTTTGAAGTGGATGACTCTGACAATAGAGGAAATTACAGGGAATTGTTAACATTCATTGCCAAAAAAGATAAACAAAATTCCGAACATCTTTAGTCATAGCATAAGAGGATGAGGTGTATCAACTGTCCCAGACGCTCAGTCCAGGAATGTTTACCTTAATTTAAAAATAGTTTAAATAAAATACCTAAAATAAGCAAAAACTTATATTTGGGAGGTTCAAAAATTTCAAATGCATCACCCTGTATATCTGTACAAGTTTGGATTTAATTTTTTAAAAACTATTTTTTGGCATAAACTTTGATGCAGACAAAATCACTAGATTATTAAGCTTTTAATAGAACAAAACACCAAAATTAAGGAAAAAATCATATAATAGAGAAAAACAACTATAACAACAACATAAACAACTATCACTACTCAAGACCTAATCTACAAAAACTGCTCGAAAATATCTCCACCATGAATACACAGCCGTAGTCTTTGGATAAATGACCGTAGCACATCCCTCAGCATGTGTTCCCTTATGTTCAGAAAAGCATCCTTAATCCTTTCCTTCACATTTTCCGGTGTAGATGGTGGATATCTATAAACCTCTCGCTTAACGTAGCTCTATAGAAAGAAGTCCATCTGTGTCATATCTGGTAATCTAGGAGGCCAAGATATAGGCCCTTCATGACCGATCGAACGATTGTTACTCCAGGTGTCCAAATAGACAATGCCCAGGTGCGCCGTCATGTTGGAAGTATATATGCATCCGAGTTTGCAGCTTGACATCCTCAAAAAGCAAAGGCAAATGCTCGATCAAAAAATTAGTAAGTATTCTGTACCTGTTAATCTGTTGTCGAAAAAGAAAGGCCTGATAATTGTCTGTCAATATCTCGTCCCCAAACATTCAAGCCCTATTTATTTTGGAAATCTATTTGCCTAACCCGTAGCATAATAGTGCATGCTGTGCCTGTTGACAACACCTATGCTGTTAAAAGTTACCTCATCGCTAAAAAGAACCTTATCCAAGAAAGTAGTGTCTTCATTCATTTTATTTAGCATTATTCTACTAAACTCCATTCGAGCTGCGAAATCCTGAGGACGAAGGCCTTGATGGAAGCATAGGTGATATGGATGGTACCTATGCTTGTGAATAATCCTTTCAACAGAAGTTCTGCATATATCAGTTTCTGCTTCAATTTGCCGTGCATTTAAATGGGGATTTTCCTGCAACTTTAATAGAACCTCCAACTAATTCGCATCATTGGTGACACTTTAATCATTTATACATTTTTTACTATATTCTAATGCCCCACTTGATTCAAAATGTTCTCGTAGTGTGAAAAATATTTCCAGCCGTGAATGTCGCATATTAGGGTACCGTTGCTTATCTATGCGAGATGCTAGGAAACTATTTCCAAAACGAACACCATATTCACCATTTCTTCTGTAGAAAAATTCATTTTCAAACACGTTTTTATTATAATGCTCAAAAAATTCATTTTGACAGTTTGTAACTAATCAACAATTTATTTGTTTCCAAGGATGATGCGATATTTTAGGGAATCAAGCCGTTCCATAAAAGACGTGCTAATAACCGAAAAAATTGCCGTAAAAATCGTCATGTGTCTGGTATAGACTAAAAGCCTATAAAAAATTGAATCCAAACTTGCACATTTTTGAGAAAAACTACAATTTGAGTTTTTGACCAATAAGATAAAAGTTTCTTATTGATACAAAATTCAGCACTCCAAATTTAGAAATAACGGACTGAGGGGTTGCCGAAGTGGGGGGTTTTCTAGACAAAACACCTTATAGCTGAGTAGCTAATTACCAAAACCCCATGGTATTTCATATCAATCTTCTTCTTTTGAATTGGTTTATCGAAACGTGCAATAAAAATTGAGGCATTCCATTTGAAAAATAACAACTTTGATATGCGCAACCTGTAGAATGGCCAATATTTTAGAAATGTGCCCTCAAATGTCATTTATAACATTCCATAAACAGATTTTCCCAAAATGTATTTGTTTATGAGTAATATTCCGTCCACACATGGATGTGCCACCCGATATACTCGTATATATATACAGGGTGACTTTGAAGTTGAGTCATTAATTTTCAGATAATGATTGTAGAAGGAAGATAAACCAAAATATGTGTGTAAAAATAAAAAAAATTTACCTTGTTTTATAAAGTACCTATCCTCCCGAAAAGTATTTCAGTGCGGACCTGTATTTGATCGTGAGGTCTTGGAGCACCGGCATGCCGTCCATATGTGAGGTCTTAAGT